AATATTCTTCTCTGGATTTATTATTATGTTTTCGGCTTATTCACGTAATAATTTGACGGCTCTCGGTATAGCATAGCTTGATACTAGTTGAGTGTCTCGTCAAATTATTACGTGAGTAAGCCGAAAACTATAATTTATAATGTCTCACGAAAGTTATAATAAAAATTCTTCTCTGGGCAGGGAGAGTTCCTTCTACTGCTCGGCTTAGGCCATGGCCACATTACTGCACTTGATCCAGAACCCCGGCTGACTTAACATATCCCTTAGCAACCTTTTAAGGAAGAAAATTTAAAATGGATCGGTAAAAGCTACTTTTCAGCTTTGAAAAGATGACTTTGGAGTTTGATATTCGGACCCTAGTTTAAACAATGACTTTACCTACAGTTGTCTTATTTTAGAGACTAATTAGGTATATAATGAGACTATTGGCATGGCTCGCCATTTATATATTTCATCATCAGGTGGCAGATTATACATATATTAAGTGTGGGAAAGCTATGTATGCTTTGGCATGAATGGGTTCAATCGGAGTAATGTCAAGAGTGCCAAGAGTCAAATAACACTTACGTTGTGTTTTGACGTGTGATTGAGGTTACCGGAGGCCTAATTTTCAACTCTCTCGTTCATGCCCTCATACCCCCATTCCACATATCACTTAAAGGCTGCAAATATTTTGGTATTGCAGGTGTCCATGGAAGCGCTGTTTGCTAACTATCAAGTGATTCGTCTGCTCTTCAGCCTACATATCCCATGGAAAGGTAAATATCCTTAAAAGTCTCAGTCTACTTTATCTTATTTTACTTTATGTCCAAGTATCGCAGTCCTTGCCCACTGAAGACGCAGACAAGTTGCCCGTCTGCAAGATCACTGAGATAAGTTATAAGATTTCTGATCACGTATTTCGGCCGGGACGATGTTTGCTGTTCCAACGTTATTGTTCGCAAACCGTACTTAGTTCATAATTGTCGAGCTGTAATTAGTTTCGTTTTCCTGTTTCGTGTCATTTGGTTATCATAAATGTAGTGTTTATACTCGTTATCATATGTTTTTGGGTGTTTTAACAACTTTGTTATTGTTTTTAACTTGTGCTTAATGAATAAGTATTTTTATGTTTTAATTTTATATTTAGGTACTTAATATTATGAAGAGTTAATATCGGTTTTAATAGTTCAAGGACGTTTTGAACCTGTTGAAAAGTGGGAATTTAAGTCCCATATCGACAATATAATCGGAATCATTGCCAGATCATTTTTACAAATAATTAGTAAACTAGACGCAAAAAAGGTTGACGTATCAAGCGCAATGATCTACCGCGGCTCGTAGCAGGAAAAGCGGAAGCAGCAGCAGTTAACCTAGGGAGGATAGTCATTTTATTTTCTTCAGTTTCTTCAGTATAATATAAAGAGACATGCGAAGAAGATGAAATTGTTCTTCAAGTTTGAAAGAAAGATGGCAAGATCATCCAAAATAAAAAGCGTTTACCAAATGCTCTTGTTATTTTTGTATCAATTTTGCCAGGTTCACTGGAAACAGATGGATGAGATATGGTTTAAACAGAGAAAAATGGCATGAAAGGGAGGACTGTACACACCACTAGGTGAACCTGACTTACCTAGATATCATCTGCATCCATTATATTAATGTCATAATAATTATCCATCCTGTGACTACTGATCATTGAAGTTCATTTCACCTTCTTTTAAATAAACAAAACAATAACGACATTTTTCATTTATGACATTTCCTGACCTTCCATTTATGATGTATTGGAATAGTACATTCTAATATATCATCGATAACTGCCTTTAATCAATTAAAAGCATATCCACGAGTACGTAATAACTGGCAAACGTTATCGTGCTCGCTTATCATTCTGTTAACCAATAATAACGTTTTAACTGATTATTTTCCTTGCAACTTAGACCTTGAAAGGCGTAGATGCGGAAAAAATGTTTGCCTACTCGATTATTTAAATTATGTTTGTACATGCGTCGTTTTGTTTTGACGTAACGTGTGTGGGCTCGTTTGAATATCGAATGGTAGGAGAGTATGGCTCGTTTTGATTGACAGGACTTACCTAACATTTACGTGGGCCTGTCAGTCAAACTAACACAGGATCTGGTTTCGGAAAAAGTGCTTTTTTATGGCTGAGAGTAATTTGTATTTGTAGATAAAACAAGATCAAATAAAAGAGTTATTTTTGGGATGCATGAACGAATGCTGCTAGGTGCACGTTGCATCTAACCAAGATTTGAAAGTGATTAGGGGAGGCCATGTCATAATTGCAAGTGAAGATGCAGAGTTTAATCATTACTTCGAACTAAATATGATTTATATAATAGGTGGAAGGTGTTGAAGTGGCTGCTCGATATACGGGATTGAAGAAAAGTACTAGACCTGAGCGTACGACGCGTTGCATTCCACGCGCGCCTCCAATAACCAACAGACCACTGCAGATGAAGCATATTACGGCCTTTGTCTAGCCAGGTTTGCGGGTGCAAACAACAGCAAGGTAACGCGGCCTTGGACCGAATCAGACGAGGGACGAGATAGTTTTGAATCAGCGTGAGTCTGACACTCTTTCTCCCCCGAACCAGAGCAGGAGAAGTAAACCGATGATTTTTCCGTCTCAAAAGACTTTTTTGGACTGTGCAGTTGTGACCTAGCACTTAATACTATCCTGTTTAAATAAATGGCAAATATAGATGATGATTTTATTTTGTAAAACTCTTTCAAAATTATCTTTTATAGGTGACTCGAGTATATTGTTAGGTCTACACCAATATCGGAACACTTCAACGTCACAGGCACGCCTGAAATGTTATTTAATTTATTTGAAAGCTTTTAATACATGGATGGACAAAAAGTGGGCTAATCTGCGTATGGGCCGAGCCCACCTTGATATACGCATACGTATTAACTTAACACTCTACCAGCTACTGATTTTTTTACAAGAATTGCCTTCTTGGTTCTTTCACGTAGGATTTAATATTTTTATATGATGGCAAGCAACTAGCTCCAACCTTGGATACACGCAACACCAAATAAATGGCAAGCGCATTTTATAGCTGTTGAAAATTGGGGATTTGGGGATGTTTGACATTCTGTAAGGCCTCTGTATTTAAATGCTCACCAGGTAATTTTTCTGACACTTCAAAATTTTGATTGATGTGTTTTGATAAACTTAATCCTTTGAATAGTTATCTCAATACACTTTAGCAGCGTGAAACATATTTTAGAGAATCTTTTTGATCAGACGAAATCCATTGTCCAACAGTTATAATTTGTCTCCTTTTAATTCCAGATACTAGGGAAAAGTGGGTTATAAGAGTATTAATGATTTCAAATTGTTACTAAAATATCTAAGGTCAAAAACATTATACTATTATCTACTTATCGATATAAAATTTTATTTTAAACGACCAAATTACCAATTATTAGGAAAAATATTAAGGACGAAAAATGTGAAATCCAATTGAGGTAATGACATAGGCGTGCCTTCTGACCGACTTGAGGATCATATTGTTATAGTACATTAAAGAATATTTATGTTAAGGACAATGTTCATTTTGTATGAAAAAATATTTTACACTGGGCAAACGAAATAAATATAATTATCTCTGATTTAGTATTATAAATTAATTTGGTTCTACATAAAAAAACTAGCTAAATTTAAAATAGATAAATTACAAAATTTTATCACATATTGTCTTTTGGATTTGGTCCAAAGAGGCCACAAACTGCACTTTTGCATGTCAAAATTATATGTCAAAAATATGTAGGTAAAGCCGCGGCATTTTCTATCTGACTACACTGAGAAGAAATGCTTAAACTCAGAGGTTCATCCCTTTTAAAGTCCAGACAAAAAAATAATATAATGTGAGATAACCGTGCATGTTCATTCTATAGTGGTCTTTTGAGGAAAGACCTACACCATTTTAAGTGGACCCGTTCTGGAGACAGGCACACAAGAGTCTGTTTGCAACCAGTTTGGCTAACGGTTGCTGCTAAGTTGTCCGAAGAACAATACCGATCAAAAGAACATGGGTCGCGCAAATACTCAAACTGTCAGAACGCAGATAACTAGCAGTCGAAAAGCGCGGCAAAGTTTCACACGGACCTTACACTAACAATAATTGCCAAAACACTGACACTGCCAAAAATTACAATAAAAAAATTAACTTTATGTCGCAATAGGTGATAATGCCAAATTGCATATAAAAAAATTATTAAATAACTTATGTTACAAACATGTCAACATGATCTGTGCAGACGTTAAAGCAGCAAGTCTTTTCTTTTTTTAAAATGCTTCAAAGTAAAGTTTAACCTTTTTTGTTTTCTTAAAATGAATACACATCATCGAAATATATGACCAAATAAGTCCTTCTGGGGGCTGCCCCATCATCGCTGGATGATTATCTTATAATAGTTTAAGTTTAGGTTGGGTAAGTGTGGACCTACCAGAGCATTGTATTTCATCGTATGAGTGAGATAAACCGGTAGCCCAACTCTTCGTTTCCCCTCATCCCTTTCCTCCCTAATCCTAAATTCTCTGAAACCCTAATCCCCAGTGCCGTCAAGGCACTCGTAACTCTTGGTGCTGCAGGGGTCCATGGGCAACACCGATTGGCGACCATCAGGTAATCCGTCTGCTCGTTTAGTGATTTTAAGAGAGACGTTTAATGGTAACATATTTATTGCTATCGATTTGATTCCAAAAACAATTGGAGTTAAGTAACCATAAAATGACTTTGCGTACGGCGGTAATAGTGTAAATGTCAATAATATTTGAAGGGTAAGACACAAACAGACATATGAATGTAGATTGGGTTGAATAAACTTTGGTATTTGATATTATTCATATTGAAACTTTGAAGTAATAATAGTATACTGTTACTACTCACTTGTTTTTTATTTTAATGACTAAAAATCACCGTTTTCCTTTTCCTGTTATCCTGTTATATACTATTGCATTTGCACGAACAAATCTAACATTAGCCTTAATAAATCTCAGCAGTGGTAGTACCACCACTGCTTGGATCTCCGATGCCCAGAGTGTCTTCTGCGTCGGCTGTGGCTTGTAGAGGATTCCTCACGTTTCTTTCTTTCTGCCTCCTTCTTTGTGAATAAGATTGTGCCACAGAAGGAAAATTGAGAAACAACAATTTTTAAACAGCACTCGAAGAAAAGCAGGCACCGTACGCTCCACCATATCCTCCGAATGAGCCTCGCGCAGTGATGACACCCATGCATATCCTCCCGCTGAAAATGAAACAGTTACGTTCCGAAACTGTCCTGTCAGGCAAAAGTGAGAAATTAGGGCAATGTGTTACTACTGCTCATAATATTTATTTTTGGTTATTACCATCATTTCGTTTTAATCATACCAATAAGTTAAGGCAGGAGTAGAAATAGAAAACCTATCCCCAACACAAATCTGGCGACAGTTTAAAATACTTTCAGTAAACATTAAAAAGTATAAAGAAACCAATAAGGATTAATAAAAATGACTTGAATTAAAATTGAATTAAACCCAAATATGTTCATTAAAACGTTTTAAGTAAGTGCAAAAACGATTTATTAAAACAAAAATTTCAAATGAAAACGAAGCAATGCAATCTAATTATTTAACATTCCCCACACACAGTTAGGGTCGCCGTCAGTCGATAATCTGTATGACATTTCGTTCTCAGAACGTCTGCAGGTCGAAAAAGGGCACCCAGCTTATTGGCTGCAACAAAAAATCTGTTAGTTTCTATTGAAAACAAGACGAAAGCAATTAAGTTTTGAAAGCTTTCCATACTTTCGTTGAACACAACGATAAATAAATAATATATCTATATTTCTTATAAGGCTCTTTTCGTTTTCGAAAAATCTTTTAAATAGCACCAAGTCTGGAATCCTGTACATGACTTTTAAATTGTGACAACTGTATGTTACGTAGAACTCCGGCCAATGCCATCGAGAATAAAAAGGTTGTACATATTGTGTTGTCCTTAAATTTTTTTTTGTTACTTCTTCTTTTTCTTCGTTATTAGTTAAAATCACACTAGTCCGATCTTTATATCTCTGATCTTACCTATTTCTCAAAACTTTATCATTAACTAAATCAATAAATTATATTTACTTTTGGATATTTAGAAAGTTAGGATACTTTTTTTTTGAAATGATAAAATACCTACTTACTTTTGCCTAAGTATTAGATACTTACATCGACGCCTCCTTGCTTATTGATGCTGTAAGCTGTAAAAATAAATAAAGTGATATCATTTTAATACACATCATCTGTCTGTAACTGCCTACTGCTGAGTAAAGGCCTCTTTTTACATGAAAAAGGTTTAAGCATTTATCACCAGACTTTCTCAAGGCGGATTGAGTATTTTAAATATTTTAATTAGACATTATAGGTTTCGTCACGATGTTTTCCTTCGCCGTATGTCAATGGTGCCTAGAAAGTACGTGTAACTCGGAAAAAGTCACATTAGTACTTGCCAGGTTTCAAACTGCTAGAGAAGCGTGCGCCTTAACCTCGGGTCACCACGACTTTTTTTAATACAATAAAACAAAATCTTCAAAATAAAATCACCCAGTCTTAACCTTTCTTTTGATAAGCGCATTATCTATACTATCTACATATACTAATATTATTAATAGGTAAAATTAGTAAGTTTGTATGTAGGGGGTAATCTTTGGAACCGCTGGTCGAATTTCCAAAATTCTTTCACTGATAGATAGCTACAATGTTCTTGTGTGCTACAGGCTATAAAACATCACGCTAAGAGTAAATAGAGCCGAGCAGCGGGTGAAACCGCGCGAGAGTTGCTAATTCGTCGATAAAAATTTAATGTTTCAAAAAGTTTTGAACGGTTGAGTACACATATGACAAAGTTAAACGAACGTTAAAAAAAACGTTTACAGTAAAACTTTACCACCAGCCAGTGTCAAACTATGTGAACAAAATGACCTGAAACAGGTTTATGAGTTCAGAGTTTATTCAGACCGGACTCTGTTTAAAATATAAAGTCTGACTTTAAATCTATTAACATTTTTCATATGAATTTTTTAGGTTTTTTTTTATTAAGAAGAGTGTTTTGCTTATTTTTGGGTTAGTACTGTTCGTTGTCTTTGTAACTTTTTACATGCTGATTATAATAAATGTTTGACAAAAACTATTTATTATACAAGAAGATTAAGGCGTTTCGAAACTAAACAAACTTAAAGCTGTAGAAGAAGGTATAGAATGATATTATCAAAATGAAAAACATACATTGATACGCGCAAATCAAAATTTAAATTATAAATGCGAAAGTAAATTTGTCTGTCTGTCTGCCTGTCTGTCTTTTCTTCACGCCTAAACTACTGAACCTATTTGTGTGAAATTTGGTACAGACATAGTTTGAAACTCGAGAAAGAACAAAGGATAGTTTTGAAACCAAAAATCTAATAGTATATTAAAAAAATCTAAAGCTAGTATAATTAAAACTACGAGCAGATTTTAGTCAAAATCAAAGAAAAAAAATGTGTTTCACAAGCCTACCTAAAAGTATTTCATTTTTTTTTACTTTTCTCTATACAATGTTTTCTTCTACATCGTGGTTGCGTTTAAAAACATACAATTTCACGTACCCATCATTCCTGGACCCTGAACAAAAATTTGTAGATCACAGAGACAATTGTATCGTGCGAGAATCGAACGCGCGACAGTGCCGGTAGCCCAGCAACCACGTCAACATCGCAGTGTAAGTGTGTATAATCACAATATTTATTACATTACTCATATGTAGGTAGCTTTTGTATTTATTATGTTTACCTCAGAAGCCGTCCTTGGTACGAATGTCATCTCAATGACACAAACACACACATACAATTAATTTGAACATATTTATTTGAACTATCAAAGTTTATGTGAATAAAAATTTAAGCTGTTTATTGTTGAGTGTTCTTAGACAATGGCTATTTAGATTTCATTTGGAAAGATGTGTAGTCTGTTTTAATTTAGGTACCTAAATGTTTTATTTAAAAGCAGCGACCGGCTCAGCCCCGGTTTTCGTAAGGGTGTATTGGTGATACTAAATTTCTAAACTATTTAAAGGATTGTTACATTTTTCGTTTGTTTTTTGAGCTGACATTCCAAATCTAAACAATGATAACTTACTGAGAGAAAAGAGTAAAAAAAAAATAAAAAAAACATTTGTATATTAATGTCAAATTACTTGAATACTAATAAAGCTCTGTTGTTCAAGAAATTAATAATAAGTTTATCAAATATAAGTTAAACCTCTCTGCACTGCATAAGTCACATCTCGAATGACGGTGCGTCATAATGTAAACAACTATTAGTGACTTCAACTTAGAAATGACGTCATATTCTAGCTTTCTATCAATTTTGTCTCTACTATATTTCAATAGTAAATTTAGAGCCAGATCCACAATAGCTGTTATGTACTGGATTAATTTGCAAGACGAACTTAATTGGTTTGAACTTTATGTATCACATAAGATTATTGGTAACTAAACTTATATTGTAAACGTGGTTAAACAGAAGCTTAATGATATTGCTGTTTTCTGACTGAAATTGACAACTTAAGTTGTAGTCGTTTCATTGGCAATATTTTATAGATAGAAGATTAGCATACTCAATATTATTGTTTTTATACCATCCAGAACATGCAATAAGATCTGCACACTTTCCCAACAGATTTTCTTAAAGAGATATTTATTATAGCTGTTTAGAGTTATTTAAGAGTAAAAAAAACTGAAGAATAACTGAGTTGAGTTATTAATACAAGACGGGAGTTATTATCATTTTTTTAATTTTGGGAAATAAATACCTACTAGCTTTTGCCCGCGACTCAGTTCGCATGGAATAGTAACATCCTGCAGATTTTTGGTATAAAAACTATACTAGGTATGTCCTTTCTCGAGTTCCAAACTATGGCTTTACCAAATTTCACAGAAATCGGTTCAGTAGTTTAGGCGAGAAGAAAAGGTTTGGATTAATAGCCATGTGTATTTTCAAGGCTTTCTTTAAGAGGGAAACCACAAAATAATATACCTACCTATAAAAGAGAAATTATGTTTCTTTGAAAGCATAAACAATTAATATTTGCTACGAACTGAATCGAGAGCGGATGCTAATGTAGCTACAAAGACAACATTTTGACGTACACAAAACTTCCTCAAAATAATTAATATAAATGTTATAACACTTAGCACATTCAAATGTTTAAAGCCTGTCACTTTTTCAATACGGTTATGTTATGAGTTCTATAAAAACTGCATTTAACATAATGATTGATAGAATAGTTAAGTTCAAGTGTGGCATTATTTCGAACTGTCCTACGGCTAGTAGATATCCGGAAATTTTGCTCTCAGTTAATTTATATAGCTGTCACAGCTTTCGTAGTCAAAATTAGTTTTCTATTTTAGAGGTCTCATAGTTTCAATGTCTGTTGTTTTTAAAGGAAGTTAACTTTCCGAATGAATGTTCCGAGTATTATTATCAAAAAGCTTAGTGTTACAAGGATTAAGTTTAGCATCATTAATTAGTCCAATATTTATATGGATTATAATATCTAATAATCACAGTTCGTCGCGTGGTTTTCTACATTGTCGAACATCGCATTTTGTAAGGACATCTACAAACATTTCTGTCGTAAATGAGACGAGACATAACGCTTTATACATTTTTTGCCAGTCTATTTGGATCTTTATTAGTAAATTCAGAAGTTTGGTAATTAAAAAAATGTAATACCAATGATTTGACGACATCCGCAGGGCTGCTGTGCTGTGGCTGGCAGTGGTTGGATGAGAAGAGCTGAACATCGAGCTCAGTGGCGTGTAATTGGGGAGGCCTATGTCCAGCAGTGGACGACAACAGGCTGATGATGATGATGATGATGAAAAAATTTTTGAAACATTATAATTGGTAAGTGAAGTGCATGATCATTTACACATTATTATTTTAAGGAACATCAGATAAGCCTACGCCAGCGGAGATATTTTTAAAACACGTTAGTGCTAACAATAGAAAACAGCTTGGATGTATTTTTAAATGAACATAGAACTCGTAGTAGGGGTGGGTGACGTCGTCCCCGACACGAATATCGGACGGTGGGAGGGGTGACCACCCCCCACTCGTTTTACGTGATTGAATGAGGAATTGTTAAAAGATCAAATTTTTAAGGGTTATTTTTTTATAGATCTGTGTGTTGGTGGTCATTTGGTATTGTTTTTAAGCAAACCTTTAATTTTTGTAGAATAATAACTAACTTTTCGGTTTTGCCTTATTTGGATAATGTTGTCGATGTTGTTAGTAAATGACATTCAGGAACCATTTTCAGGGAGCATTTAAAATAAACGGAACCGATTATTCCACTCCTTCCTAGCAGACAATACGGCAATTAAGCAACATTCTTCAAGTTGACAGGCTCCTCGAAAATGAAAAAAATCTACAATTGACGGGGAGGAAAATCGCGGTTCGGATCGAGGGCGTTAGCGGACAGTACTTGTGTTTAATTAAAAATAATGTCTGAGGCAGTGTTTCCTCGACAATAACCGAGCCCGGACGAGATAGCTTGTTATATAAATTTCTGCAGACTCCTGGGGGACGTGCCGGGAGAATAAGGCGAGGAAGCGGCGGTAGTGTGAGTATATTATACCCATTTTCTGGGTCGTCCTTCCTACAAATACGTTTTATGCGGAAGCCAGTCAGACTCCACCGCTCCACTGTAATACAATCTGTAAAACAATAGCCTAAGATTCAGTTTACAGTGTCGCAAACACAGTCCCGGTAAAAGGTACTTATTTGATTAGGGTGTCAGGCGTATCACCGCGAGAGTGTGAGCGCGGATCCCGAGGTTTTGGATAAAATTTGCGTGTTTCGATTTTTTGCTTATACCGCCGCCCCTGTACAACAAATTGACGTGAAATTGTTTTTATTTTAGATAACAAACACATTTTTTTATAAAACTATGTAACAAGGGTAAAGAGGCCTGAACACAATAGTTGTTATCGTAAAGCCGTATTAGAATTCATATCGAGTCCCCTGGAAGCCCCTTCATCTCTTTCATGGGAGAGGACCTCTATAAATCATCGAAAAAGACGTTAATATCTGAACTCTGTACAAAAAGCGCGCGACCTTGTCGTTTGAGTCGAGAATGGCGGACGTGCGGATAGTAGCGTTTACATTGTCACAGCCGAATGTTGTATGCAAACTAACTGGTCGTCTCGTCAATATGAAA